AGTGCTAGGTACGTGAGAGGGGAAATCAGTCGACGAGACTGTGAAGCTACATCGACTGAGATGGTTAGGACATGTGTTACGTATGCCCAGTCATCGTCTTCCTCGACAGCGGTCAATGTTAGCTGATATAGGGTCAGACTGGAAAAGAGCTAGCGGCGGTCGAACGAAAACATGGCACCAGTCAGTGAAATCCACAACAGTTAGTCTAAGCCACTTAGGAAGGTGTAGACTTCCTGGTTGAGGTCCTCGGGACGGTAAAAACCAATGGTTGGAAACAATTGGTGACATGGCTCAAAATCGTTCTCAATGACTGGCGCAGATGCATCCACTCCTTGTGACTCATGATTTCCAATGAAACTATATTGTTCTTCGTTGTTACTATTCCTCTTACTTTCTTCTCTTGGTTTGTGTGCTACAAGGAGGGAGTGTGGCGTCTTGGACTGCCGCACATATGTGCACAGTTTTATGTCGAAAACAGACAGACAGTCAGTCAGTCAGTCACTGGCGAGCATCAGATGAATTTTCAAGAATTGGTTTTCAGGGAGGGATTCAACTTGTTTTACAAGTTTGAGTCTAAACTCACTTTAGCAATACAAAGCACACTTGATAAGAAAGAAACCTGCTTATGAGCTACTAAGAAGGATTTAGAAATTTCTTTACTGGCCTGGACATATATATATATATATTTTAAGACGGGATATATTAATTTAGGGGTAGAATACAACTCCATGGGAGATAAGTTCATTTGATATAACTCATAGGGATACAGTGTATTATTAGCTGGATAACCTTACAAGCACAATAATTTAGCCCCACTGAACGACTTATTATAACCCATAGTGGGTAGACTTTGGTCTTCCTCTAGAAATAGTACCTCTGCCAGCCGGTTGCGTCCTAATCACTGACTTTAGGCGCCATAGAGTGCTCTCACAAAAGTGGAATGGAGGATAATAACATCTGGCGCTTACAACCCGAGTGTGGTGGACATACAAGTCTACCACCCTAGGGGTGATGAAAAATCCTGATTCCAAACTTATGCTGTGTATATTGCACTCCACAATTCGAAAAAATTTACTAGCATATGAACCTGTTTTTTGGTAACCAGAAACCATAGGAAACCAACTCCTAATACTGCTTCACTGCTTTGTGCATCAGACTTCAAGTCAAAAGCCCAAGATGGAGGAGGGGGTACCCTTAGGACAACCACCTCGGTTGGTCAGTATGTTCGGGTAGCATCTCATCTCTCTCTCTCTCTGGCACAAACTCTGCTATTTTGTGTGGAACATCTCCCGGTACTCATAATGCACCAAACAGTACAAGGGGAGCCTGAAAGTGATTCTTCAAGCACTATTTAGCGCTTACATTCATTATATCAATGTATTCACATAACTTGATATCGTGCCTTGTATAACATCACTCTCTGATGTTTCTTATTGTGATTTCAACATGTTATAACGAATTAGGAAAAACTATATATATATATATATATATATATATATATATATATATATAATCTACCGAATACCATGTATTGACTGTTAGAGTAAGGTCAATTACATGTAGATAAGGGTCAATAAGATTTATCGGAACATAGAAATTTAGCTAAACCTAAAATGACTGATCCTGTTAAGTTAAATAATCTAGAAAAAAGCTCGGTGGTCATTTCAATGTTATCCACTCACGTATAGTCAGATAATGGATTGGGATAGGGTACAAGTATTAAAAATTAATTAAGTTAGATGAAGAGAGAGACAAAGAGAGCCAGAGAGGTTAATCCCCGAATCTTTATTCATCGAATCAATACCAGAACACATGCAACTGAAATGATGCAACACTTATACTACTGAATTTGTGAAAAAATCCAATGAAAATAAGAAGTCTGATTTAATATGATCATGGGTAGTGTATTGGACTAGTGGAAACGTCGTCCAGTTATAAATACACTGTATCACTCACTCGCTCGCTGTGTTATATTCAGATAAACTTATCTAACATGGAAGAACAAGAAACAATCCGTGCGTCACTGTTGCTAAGGCCGCCTTACACTACACTCACTACTCCTGGTTGATTTCCAGTTGTACTTCTTCCTATGCTATTTTAATTTCAACATTGATTACGGAAAGGCGATTGTCTACTCGCATGATGGAGCATTTGCCGAAATGGTTGAAAACAGCTGAGTGCAAAGTGCCAAAATCCTCAATAACAAAGCATCTTGTGGATTACGGACATAATATCGACGCTGTCAAGTCATTCACTGTTGTCAGCAGACAAAGAAACAGGAAGATGCTTGCAATTGCAGAAGCTTGTGTAATTCGAGTTTATGTGACAGATCTCTGTGTACAAAAAGAGATGGTCGTCACTCTGAATCTACCATGGTAATACGTTTTACTTATTAACTGTTATAATTAATATTAGTGACACTTTATTCCCCTTATCATTATTGTCATTGTTATTCTTGATTCATTTAAAACTATCTTTTATCACAGTAGCATTATCTTAACTCACTTCAGCATTATTATCAATATTACTATTGTTCGTGTTATTATTATTATTATTATTATAACTATTACTATTGATATTACTCTGTTTGCAATTCTTGATATATTCTCTAATGACTAATTGTTTATCTAAGTGATGTAACTGAAGCGCGCAATGCATTTTATCTTAATTTCAATGTGTCATACTCCCTTCCCCCACTTATCTATTTGGTGAACATGACTTGAAAAACATTCGCACCTGTCTTTCTGCATGACTAATTCAATGTAGTTTATTTGCTCCCAATGTAATTTCAAAAGTATATATATCCATGTATGTAGAGTATTCAGCTAACGAGTTCTACCGAAATTTGATGAATTCATTAAATCCTGCTTTATTAACTGTATTGCTTTTTTTAAACTGGGACCCTGCCGAATGTTTCATGAATTCCAGCTTCTGCCAATATGTGATATCTGTTTAGCGCAACTGCCAGCCAGTGTTACAGGCAAGTTACTGTCCTCTTGCATGACTCGGTGAACCTCGCTGCTTACGAATTCTCACTAGAACACCAAGTAGCTTAGAGCTCGCCTCGAAGCCTGAAGGTCCTGGATTTGAAACTGGTTAGGTGCGCTCTACGGAAGAGTTCCAAACTGGGACGAAACAGCCGTCCAGTACTCCAGTACTGATTTTCAATGGTTCGCTGAATGATGCCAGCTCCTGATCAATCCTATAGCCAATTATTTTAATTGTTTGTTCTAAGGGCACCGGAAGAGTAATTATGTATTGCAGAGTATAACAGTCTGTGTGTGTAGATCAGCCATTATCCAGTATGTAATAGCTGGAGAAAGCCCCTAAGATAAAATCTCCTGTGTGCTAGCAACACAATGAATAATCATGGAATCGTCTAACGCTATCAAACAGTAACTATTTTTTCTTTAACAAGTCAATCGGAATCGTTATGACTTGAACATTTTAACTCTTATAAATGCGTACGCCACTTCAGCATATACATAAGACTGTTACTAGTTAAATAATAATGTGTTTACATATACATTAGAAGTTAGACATTGCGTAATCATCTTTTCTGCCAGTGTGTACTTTGTAACTGCTTTCTTAGCAAGTCTTGATAGATAAGAGAATGCATGTTTATTTACTTGCTTTATAATAGCCTGTACTGAACACCATGAAGATGTATATATTTGCCTACGCTTACAATTTGACCAAAAGACAATATAAACTTGTACTTTGACAAGTAAATAATATAACTCAAGATAAATGCACTAGTCATTCATTATTCACACTGATATGACTGATAAAATATGAAAAACTGCTAGCTGAACTCTGACTAGTAGTTACTGGTTCTAGAAGTACTGAAACCCTTCGAGTACTTTTGAAGAATCCACCTACACACAAAGGCGGGAGAGTGATCTTCACAAAAGTGATGGAGTAAATGCGAACATCCAGAGCTTAAACATCGGATTAGTGGACCTACTGGTCTACCTGGCTGAGGAAAAACTGTGATCGAAAACCTATCGTGTGTACGTGGACTATGGCTCTGAAACATGGCCAATACGAGTTGAAGACATGAAAAGGTTGACTGTTTTTGATCATAGATGTCTACGATCTCTTCCTCACGTTAGGTGGTATAATAAGGCAAGTAATGTTGACGTTAGGCGTAGAGTGTTGGGCAAAGAGGGAAAATCAATCGACGAGGCTATAAAGTTACATAGATTGAGATGGCTAGGTCACGTGCTGCTCATGCCTAACCATCGCCTCCCCCGACGGACAGGCATTACTAGCTGATATAGGTGCAGGTTGGAAAAGAGTAAGTGGTGACCAAACAAAAACATGGCATCATCAATCCATGAAATCCTTGACAGTTAAACTGAGTCAGGTAGGGAGATGCAGACTTCCGGGTCGGGGCCCACCCTCGGGATTCTAAAAATCAATGGCTAAAGACCATTGGCTACATGGCTCAAAATCATTGTCAATGGCTTACGCAGATGTATTCAGTCTCTTGTGTAATCTTTCATATTCCTTTCTACCATTACTCATTCTGTTTCACTCTTATACTTATAAAAACTCTATTGATTCTCTTCACTCATTTTCTTGTCTACCTTTGTGTGCTATTTGGAACGTGGCAACTCGAACTGCTGCACTTCGGTGCCAAGTTCTATGTTGAATCCAGACAGACAGACAGACAGACGTAGCCACCAGAATTCGAACGGATTGAATGGCGGCGGTGTATGACCATCTGTTTTGGCAGTCACAGTCAAGAACTATCAGAACGCAGCTCCTAACGACTCGCGAACTGCTATTGTAGATTAGACTTTAAACCAAATGTGAGCCAGTTAATCCATTCAGCCAATGAAAGAAAGTATTATCCAGTAGAGCCACAAAATATGCTCAGCTCGAGGTCTCACCAATACTTGAACTGGAGTCACTGGATTTAGAGTCCAATGGGCTAACTGTTACAGTACTCATATAAAAAGCTTCAATTTGCATAAATACTATTTTAAACTTACTGCCACAGGAATAACTTGATATTCAGCTGCAAATAAGTAAACGGGTGGAGCTGTTGGCGTAGTGCCATATAAGAAACCAAATGTAGAATAACGTAGAGTATCATTGGTTAACGATGCAGGCATCAGTTGGACAACAAGTTCACGTGTAATAAAGGGGACAACTAAACTGAAGTTTTTTTAAGCGAAAAGCAGAAATGCAAGAAGTATAATAAATAAGTAACTGGATAGAGAAAAGATGACATAACACAGGTTACATTCAACGTAAAAAGGATATAAACATCAGAATTATTGGTTAACATTTGTTGTGTGACGGAGAAGAACGTGTGTTAACAGTTTCTAACTAGCACTCATGAAAAACGTTACTCGTAGGAACTAATCACTGTCCAAGACTTATTGACTCTTTGGTGACTGACTGCTTGCTATATTCCTCCTCTAAGACATCACAACCAAGGACCAAAGAAGGCACCGACGGTAACATTTTGAGGAGGGTTTCCGTCTTCAAAGTAGGCTGCATCACTTCCTTTGGGGAATAAAGATACATCTTCCCAATTATATGGTTCACAGACTTGAGTGAGTGAATGTTACGTAAGGCATTTTCAACAGTTTACTGAGGACATTCATGGACAGCTGACATCGATCCACACCGAAGAACACAGGGGCAGAAAGGATTACTAACAGAGAACTCTGCGAAGAAACCAGCCAAGAACTTATCGCCTAACAAACAAGCCGAAGAAAATGCAGATGGATGGAATACATGTCGAAGAAATTATCGAGTGACATCGCGCGCCAGGCCATGCACTCTTTTTTTCCTTCACGTTCCCCAGTGGAACATAGGGCTTCAAGCTAGTGGCTTGAAGTTTCTGTAGCAGTGTTTATTTTACAGGATGGGGTTGCTAGCCTCATGCCCAACCTTTCCGCTTTACCAGCATTATTTCTGGCTTAGCGAGGTAAAGGAGTGCGTCGGCCGGTGTTCGAACCCCGGACCATGTGCATGATCGGCGAGCGTCCTAACTATTATACCACCGACGCACTCCAGGCACTCTAATGGAAACCAAATAGGAAACGGGTAAGGCGTTGGCTTAGAGGGTGATATTGAGGAGATGTTGTCAGGAGGAGATGAGAGCCTATGGACAGGGAACAGGATGTCAAAGTGAGATGTGCTGTTAAGGCCTTATGCTCCATTCAGAACTCAAGAGAATACATAAAAAAGTATCTAAGCTTACATAAGCACTTGACTTTTAATCAGGTGGTCCATGGGTTCAAGTCCCCACTAAGCCTACATCCACTGAATACTATTCTATTACTACTGCAACCACTGAGTAGAATCGTTAACCGCAATATATATTAGATGTGGCTTATAGCCTGGAACTGGGAAAATTTTCTTTTTCCTACATTTCTTTTCTATTCACTTCCGCAAAATTGGCATATAGCCATTCATTCAACAGGTCCTCACCGGAGTGGAATCCAAATGGGAAACGACAAGTGGAACTCCCGAGAATGATATAGAGGAGATGGGAGATTATGGGCAATCGTGCATCCGTAGAAAGAGGACCACAGACAACAGAATAAAGTGGAGATGTTCCACTCGGAACCCAAGGGAACGATAAAATAAACAAATAATCTCCCCATACCATTTAATTATTTTAATTGTTTGAACAGATTGAAAAATATACATAATGAAGCAAGAATTCAACATGTGCAGAAGATGATTTCAAGGAAACTTACAGTTTTGTCAATAGAATCGTTGTTAAAATGTATCCTTCTCTTTGTGTAATAGTAGCCATTTTTCCGACCATACCATAACCAAGTGAGAATAAAGCCGTGGCACAAAAGGAATCAGCTAAACGGCCGGGGGAGTGACAGCAGCGGAGGAGGAGTAGAGGAAATAAAGTGATATTCATACTAGTGATGATGATGATGATAATAATAATAATAACAATTAAAGGGCACTACTCACATTTGCACACTCTGTCGTCAGCTTTACACAATAATGTAAAGGGCTGGAAATGCTACTTTTGTCTTTAAAATAAATTCAGACTCATAAAAATCTGTGGCTCATCTTTCAGCCAATGGGACGCGGATTTTAAAACCCGTCCAGCCTACTTCAGACTGATACACTAACTGAGTAGTGTAATCAATCAGCTCTCAAACAATGTGTGGCTCACATGGTGCTTGATGCATGATAGAACTGACTTATAAGAATTATAGCAAACTCATTCTCAATAGTAAAATTTATTGCAGGATGAACCTCGTTAAATTTCTCCAGGCAGGATGTTCTTTGCTTCCTTCTCATTTTTCATAATCAAAAATATATCACCCATGTACCGACAATAGAACTCAAGGTCATTAATAACATCCTTCAAAGGCCCATTTTTTAGTTTCGCAAAGAAAATGTCGGCTAGAATGAGTCCTAGTGGTTACTCCATTGTCGATTTGTTCATATAGTTCCTTATTAAATGAAAAGTGGACATTCATTGTGCATTTCAAGAGAAGCACATGCATAAAAGATATAGGAATGCCAACATCGATGTTTCGTCGTCTTATAAGTTCTTCACATACAAAGTCCACTGTTTCCGTAAGTGGTACATTGGTGAATAAAGAAGATACGTCAAATGATATCATGAATTTATTGTCAACATTTAAATCTCAATTTCACCTTAAGAGTTCGTCTACTAAATATTGCTGAGGCTGGCTGTTGGGATCCAGATTAATAAGCCTAATTTGTGCGTCCAAAAGAAGTTAGTTCAGACATTATCCTTACCTTGGTCATCTAGGTTTGAATGATCCTCAATTTTTGTGGAATTTTCATACTTTCAGTTGATATTCTATTTACTGCTATATCTTTATTATCATTATTTAAGCATCTTTAATGAACTGTAATTCCGTTGTGATCTTACTTTACGAATCGATGTCATTTAAAAAGGACAATATTGTTATTGACTACTATTCTAGAATACTCTATGTATATGAACATATAAATAATTGTAGAGACAGAAGAGGAATTTATCGAAAAGGATATTCTTTGCTCAATTATTTTGTGTTTTAAAGAATTAATAAACGAATAGTGTTTCGGGCACAATTTATTGCTCACAATTATATCAAGCTTGTAACGTGACCATCATACTAGGTGGCTCGCTCACCATCATGATGCACACCAGATTGCCGCTACATGGTCGGAGGTAATCGGTAAGAGGCTTTGAACCTATTTTTCGTGATTGTCGGCACTTCTCTGCCACCTTCATTGACAGAATTCAGTTTGTACTAAACGAAGGACTAGATACATGATATCAGTTACTATCTAGTGTCGAAAGTATCCATTACAGTCCCGCAGGAGGTCGATCGCAAGCCGGAATAGTTCGGTAGTCACGTCTCTCAGTACAGCACTGAGTGACGTGGATTCGGACCTCAGAGGAGACATGAGTTCCATCAAGGTTGTAGATACACGCCTTGCTGACTGATAAGTGCCTACAAGTAAGAAACGCAGGTCCAAGACTCCGTGCCAAATGCCTTCAATCCATCTAACAATTCAGTCTATTTATTAATATCCAGAAAATTTAGTTAAGGAAGTGAAACCAAACGATCAGGTTATGCAGCTACATTGATTAAGATGATTTTTTAGAAAACAGAAAGATTGAGCGAAGAAATATTTACTTTCAATTAGATCCTCATCCCTCTCTGGCTCTACTCTAATATATATAGCATTTTTATTACAATGCACAACAGTTTACCAATCAAGTGGCACTGATATGTTTGTTAACAATAACTAGTCAGTGCCAACATGTCAATGGGGTGATAATTAACGAAGAAAATCAATACACATTTAAAAGGTAGAAATGGTTAGAATAAATTAATTTTACAAGGATAACACGTAATTAAAGATGAAGTGGTCAGAAAGAATAAAATAATTTGGACAATTATAATTTTTATAGGTTTAGCGGGACGACGTAGTCCTGTTTATGCATTCTTGTAACGATGGTCACGGTAAGGAAAGTGGCTGTACAAATTTCTTCTGAACACACAGGTTTGGCTTCTTCAGGTGGATTCCTATTGCTTCAGCTGTACGTGGAAGACGAACTCGTAAAGCAAAATTAAGATTGGTAGGAATGCGACAGATAATTTTAAATGCAGTATTAACATCAACCTTATGCTCACTGTCTACAAGGTGTGCTAAAATAGAGCTACGAATAGATGTTGTTTGTCCCTTGCTTAACAATGTTGGATGATGTTTGGAAATACGATGATGAACTTGCCTAATTGTACGCCCAATGTACCTGGCTCCACAGCTGCAGTCGAACTGGTAGATATACATAGAAGAGGAGGTAAAATTAGGTAGTTTATCCTTATTTCTCGAACGAAGAATAGGAGTGGTTGTGAAGAGACAACGTACCTCTGCTGCATAATAAGCTCTTTTAACTGCATTCTGTAGGCGCTGTTGTTGTCATTGAGGAACTGCAGTTTTATGAACATTGGTTTTTTCGGAACTGTTGCTATACTGACTCTTCTAGGTGCTGAATTCATATTTTTCTCAATGAATTTATCTGGATAACCATTTTTTTCTAAGTAATTCTCTAATAATCTTAAGCTCCTCATTAGAAGCAGTCATCTGAACAGATTAACCTGGCTCTATGAACCAGACACTTTACCAGGTTACGTTTATATTTCAAATGTACAAAACTCAAAAAATGAGTGTACTGACCTGTTGTTGTGGGTTTCCTATACACATTCCTTCCTTGATAGGTAAACTGTTGTGTATTGTAATAAAAATGCTATACGTGTATATTAGAGTAGAGCCAGAGATGAGGATCTAATTGAAAAGTAAATATTTCTTTGCTCAATCTTTCTGTTTTCCAAATGTCTAAATGGGGATTTTTTCGAATCTGATTTTTTGCCTAATTACTGACACCAATATTATTAATCTTAAAGAATAAACTGTAAAAAAGGAAACAAGTGGGGAGAAATTACCGATAACTTTGAGCAAAGCATCCAGATAAACAGGCAAATGATGTTTGAGAATGAAATTAAATATGACACCAATTACAGTCATAAAGAATAACGGGTTTTTGAGCACATTGAAGAGAACCTGGGAGGGGAAAGAAATTTTAAAAAAAAAAAATTGTTTATTGCTTATTTAAACACATACACACACACACAAACTTTGCACATTGCGGACACCAAGAGATTCCCCATGCAAAATCGCATAGTATGTCTACGGGCTGGGGATACTGCTCGGACGCCCAGATCAAAGCAGATGGTTTTCTCAGGGAGCCTTTAACGTGAAGACTGATCTACAAAGCATTGGCACTGTATTCTCATGGTTCCCAGTGACCAAAACAGGCTTATATGCGATTCGATCCTTTCGGATTCTGGAGTCTATTTATACCATAGGTTTCAGAATCCGGGTTTCCAGATCCCTTACGTAGACCTGCAGGTCCAACAATCCGGTGGTAAGTGACAGATGTTCGGATTCGACCTTTCACTCTCGTGAGGAACAGCTCACGCTGCTCACAGTCATTTTGCAGGAAATGGAACAAAAACGCCTACTTTATAACGCATTTATATGGTGCCTCTAAAAAGTATTTGAAAGGCAGGCACATCACAAGATTTCCCACTATTGAAATATGTATCCAACAGTAATGAATAGAAAGACAAGCAGACTAAGGAGACCATTGAGTGGCACCACGCGTCATTTAGGCCCTCGAGTAGAAAGCGAACGCAAGACGAGTTGGGCACCCAACGACAACATGGGGGAGGTCGCCTGAGGAGGAGGAGGAGCCAGAACAAAAAATACTACAGAGGACAGGGTGAAATGGAGATGTACAGCTGAAGCTGTATTCTCTACTTCGAACGCAAGAAATAACTAATAATAATAGTAATTTGTACTTGTGATAACATTGGCGTTTGAGATGATAGTTTCTGAGTTTCGAATCTCAATGGGAACAAATCACCACTCACTGGGGAGTAATTAGTTGTAGGCAGAATGAAACCCTCGTTGTGGAATTCACTGTTAGCTAACACTACCAAAACAAGCAATTTTGAACCTAATTGACTGTTTATGTGAAGATCTGAGATTTGGCTCTTGGTTAATGCGGGTGGTTGAAATTGATTCGACTCTCTCTCTACCTCTGAGCTCAGTCAAACGAGACAAGCCATTGATGGGTTCGAACTCAAAAATGAGTGAAGCGGCCGTCCCATTGTTGTGAACCAGCAGTATTTACCATTATGCATTGCTAATTTTATGTAACTATAAAAACGGTATAAGAAAACCACCTATGTTTAACGTACCTCTTATTGAAGTCAAACTCCACACGTTTTAGTAGCCTGGTTCGCTTTCCTGTGCTCCAATACTTTTGACACTCCCAAATTGTGGATAAACAGCTATCCTGTTGAGAGACAAGGTGACCAGCGGTGTCCACTAAGTTAGGTGAGACGACAGTTACTCCCTGATGACACTGCCTGGCAGCAGCGCAACTTAGCAGAAGTTGAAATTCATGGGCCACTGGACTGCATCTCAGTGACTGAATGGTCTACAAGTTCTCCTTGTAACCTGAAAGTTCAGAGTTCGAACCTAGGTGGGTGCATACGGTTGAAAAGCTTCAGACTGGGACGAAAACAGCTGTCCAGTACTCTCTGGCTTTCCAACGGTTCTCTACACTAACTTATTTCAGCTAGTGATACTACCCTCAGCTGGTTAGATTGAAGTAGATGACACGGGATTCGAACTCAAGATTTGTTGGCTGAAAGTCGAGTGGTTAATTCAATAAGCCATGAAATATCCCCATACTAACACACAAAATATGTACAAGGTAGCAGTATTTCACCGGATAGATAGAATTCCAGAGTCGTGAGCTGCGTCAGTATTTTAAGTAGTTTCATTAGATCGATCATATCACAATACAAAAAGAAACAGACAAAAATAATTTTTACCTTTGCAAATTGACGAAATCTACTGCTTCGTGAAGGTGTTAAACTAGGACTTGTCGGACTGATGAGCTTCTTCTCTTTTCTATCTCTCGCCACTAAAGGGGTGCACTCTTCATCAGTCGACTTAACTCGTTCCAATTCCAAAAGGAAATAGGCGAAGGGATTGAGGACAACTAACTGGACAGGGGCGAACAGGTATACATAACTAGCCAAATCTGGGAAAAGAGCATTGACTAAAAACACAAGGAAAAGAAGGGTGGAGAAGAAGAATAGCAACAACAAAATAGTTGAAATGAAATTCGAAAAAAAATTCGATAAAAATCGGCCTTAAGGAGTGGTTTCACACTTATGAAGAGTGATTAAGAACAGTCTCTTTTTTTACTCCCATAGCATCAATAATACTGAGTAGTTCCGGCTCATGACACTCCACACACTGGGGTACCTGGCGTTTCTCACATGCTCTGTTGGTGTTCTCGTGACTTCTTGTAGCCAGATCTGCCAAGGGCGATAGAATAGTGAACGACCTAGTGGTTGTGTGCAAGGTTTGAGGAGAGCTTTAGGCCATAGGCATGCGTACCGCCCAGATAATGTTGCATCGGTGGTCGAGAAGTAGAATACTCGTCAACCATAAACATCGTCCGGGATCCGACCCCCGGCCGAAGTGCCTCATAACCTAGCTCAGCCAGCGGTAGGCATGGGGTTAGTAACCCCCCACCCCATGAGAAATAAACACCTATGTTACTGGAACTTCAAAACTCAAGCTTGAAGCCCTTATGCTCCCGTGGGAAAACAAAGGAATAAAATAATAAAGAATTTATAATTTTATACTCCAAACTGATAGCTACTGCCTTGACTTCATGGTCAGGCTAACGCATATATCAGTGACCACACGAATGTTACTACAGGCCCTAACACGCGCAAAAAGTCGTCTGGAAAACGATTAAACTAAAAGTAGCTACCAACACAGTGTAAGCTGCTAAGAATATGTGAAGATTCTGAGGGCGAAGTTGTATTGTCAGCGAATACGACTGTATGGGTATTAAGGTGTTTTTCTTCAGAAGACCAGCTTGTCAGCTATATTGTCCTCCCTATCTATCTAGGTAGGGGTTGGTTTGAAAATCTTGACCCCAAAAACTGTACACCACAAGTTGCACTGTAGCCCAGTGGTACAGTCTGCATATGAAAAAAAACCAGTTCACCTTATTGTTTCTATATCTGTAAGAATATTGACCAACTCTAAACTCTTTTCTGACAGCCTAACTTGAGTAGAGATGCATAATACTCTATATGTGATTCCCCCACATATCAAATAATAGTTGCATTCAATCACCTAGTATGGCCACTTATACAGTTAACTTCGAGTTATACTCCCTGAGGCTTATGAAACTAACCACAAAACTTCTCCAGTACAGTTACTTTCAACGTATATAATATGAAAGGCATCCGCTAGAGACACAATTACCAATAATAATCTCAGATTTTCAAGTGTTGGTTTGTAGGGATTTGATTGGTTACAGGATTTTCATCATGAGCTGACATTAGTTAGAGAACCATAGGAAAACCTGGGAGTACTGGACAGCTGTTTCGTCCTAGTCAGCTCATGATGAACATCCTGTAACCAATCAAATCCCTACAAACCAACACTTGAATATCAATGAGATGCTCACTAGCGACTTGCTCTATTAAGGGAGGTAGGTAGTTGGGGTTCTAGTGAGAAGTCGTGACCAGTAGGGTGCAGCAGGTCGGGTGTGAGGACAAATACTCGCCGAAGACATTGACTAGAGGTTGCGCTATGTCGTGAATTGGCAGAAGTTAGAATTCATGGGCCATTAGATCGGGTCCCAGTGGCTTAATGGTATACGAGCTCGCCTTGTAACCAGAAGGTCCTGGGTTCGAATCCCGGTGGGTGCATACTGTTGAAGAGTCCCAAACTAGGACGAAACAGCTGTCCAGTACTCCCAGGTTTTCCAATGGTTCTCTAACTAATGTCAGCTCATGATGAAAATCCTGTAATCTCAGATTTATTTGTTAGATTACACAATGAGTACTATTAGAGAGACTAGTTCAAATTGAATATTCAATAATTTTAGCCATTGTTCATATGAATCTATACAAAAATTCTTGCCCGGCTAGAGTTTAGAAATGACTATCAGCAAATATTTTCAAAACAATAATCTTTTTTCAAAGCAAAATAACTCTGTGTCGGGTAACATTGCTGGACGAGGCAGACGGTGGCTTGGTGTGCCTAACACCGTATCCTAACCAACTAAACTTACATAACTACACAACCTTATTGATTAACTTAACCTTCTTACCTAACAGTCTGCGTCTAGCCTCATTGCTAATCACCATATTATAACGGTTAACATGGCAGATAGAACGTAAACAGCACCTATGATCAAAGAAGGCTAGGCTTTTCATATCTTCCATTTTCAGTGACCACGGCTATTAGCCATAAAGAAGGAGACAGTGAACTGCTGAGCAGTTCTACGCGAGAGAAGACGTAAGTTAGCAAGGCCACATGAAGATTTTGTATCCCATGATGAGATTCCTTCATGATTTCAGTCCATCAAGACTAATGCAACTTTCGAATAAATGAAGTGGTCAGCATACTCAACCAAGTAAAATAAAGCCGGTAAGAGGAAAGGTTGGGCATGAGGCTAGCAAACTCATCCTGTAAAAGTAAAACACTGCTACAGAAACTTCAAACCTCTAGCTTGAAGCCCTATGTTCCACAGGGAACGTGAAGGAAAAAAGAAAAGAAACTTACGTATAGGATAAGCCAGTGCCACATCATTTGACTGTGATACAAACATTGCAACAATAGCAGCTATGCCTAGATGACAACGTCGACTAATCAAAAAGGTGAATATCATTGCCATTAAAAAGGCAATCAATTTGCTAATAGATACAGCTAAAACGAACAGCCAACAAACTCCAGCAAAATTCATTGTCACCATAGCCTAAAAGCAAAAAAAATACACATTACAATAATACAATGATATGAGGGTGTAAAAGGTAAGCATATTATGTTGTTACAACCAGAATAAGATATGAAAATTGAAATGCTTCTAGTTATGAAATATATGGTCACATGCACTAAGCAGATATGGGGTTGATTGGTTTAGACACTCAGCTTTTAAAACAATGGATACTGAACAAAGAATACTCTTTTCGATAATCTCTTCTTCATCAGGCTCTACAGTTATATACACATTATAGTGAAGGAATGAATTAGTGCTATTAACACCATTAATACTATTTAAATAACATCGAATCAACAATATCAACAGATTACAGTTCGATAGCATCAACATAACAATTGACAGAATGGATATCAGAGAAATGAAGAAAGATAATATTACAAATTCATGAATTTATAGTCTCTAATGAAGGCCAGGGCAGTAGTAGGGGCTGGACTTGCTTCTTTTGAACATAGAGCACTGATTGTTTCACACGAATTGCGACAGCCTCTGCTGTTTGTAGCATGAGGTACATGGGCGCTTTCGGCAATTTTTTAGGCACCCGGTAGATGATAGAGAAGGATCCTTCAACACTGGCTTTGTGGCCGGTTTGCACTAGATGGTCCAATATCAAACTGTTAATGGTCTTCACTACACCTTTACTTAGCCATAGTGGGAGATGTTCTCGAGTGAGCACGAAAAATCAAGTTCCTAGAGCAACAGTCAATATAACTCGCTCCACCACAAGCACAGTTGAATTGGTAGATACAATTTGAAGTGGCCAGCTAGTTTAGGTACTTCATCTTTCAGTCAAGGTAGCACCATCGGTAGTGTAGAGAATAATATGTGTAGCTCGCCAGCATTAAAAGTTATTTGAACTGATTTTCTAAATTTCTTCGTAATTATCTCACTTGGTATATCGCCCTTGAATTGTAGTCGTATATAAAGTGGCTTCTTGTTTACAGATAGTGAGTAGTCCTTTTCCGCTTTCTTTGTCATGTGTTTCTTGATAAATTTTTCGGGATAGCTTTAGCCAATGCGTCACGAGTTCGACTCATGTTGCAGCTTTATCTACTTTAAAGGGGGACAACGGGGTAGTATCACCAGCCTTCACATGATACGTGTGCAACTCTTAACCTGGTACATGCAATATCTGTTCAAACAGACAAATATGTATGAAATATTCTTTGCGAAAATCTTTCAACAATCAGATTAATTCATGAATAATTCTCATCCAGACATTAATGAAAACAAAACACTTAGTTAATATATGTGTAAAACTTGGGCACTGCGGTGATAGTAAGAAATTCCATATTAGTTTGTTTATTAGATATATCACACACAGTGAGTGAAACAGTATTATTATTTACTGGATGACAAGGTTTCGAACACAATTTATTGCCGATCATAATTATATCAATTAACAAATTCTTATGAACTAAAACATAGATTAGATAATTTAAAATTAGATAATGAAGAAAAAAATGGTTAGTTTTGACATTGTCAGTTTATATACACGTATACCGATAATAAATATGGCTATAGAGGCAGTCACAAAGGAACTCATTTCTGACCAAGAACTTGAAATTAGAAAGAAAGGGCCACTTGAGGACACAATGCTGGGAGTGCAGCTATGCCTGACTTCCACAGTATTTAAATTCCAAGGGAAAATATACGAACAAACTGAAGGAGTTGCCATGGGGTCACCAATATCTCTTATTGTGTTAGATATATTCATGGTTAGGTGGGAAAAGTTAGCGATTGAAGCGTTCAGCCCCACCGCATAATTATGGTGGAGGTATGTAGATGAAATATTCAGCGTACTTAGAACACAGTATATAGATAGATTTTTCGAACACCTCAACTCAAAGGTGGAGGCAATTCAATTCACTTATGAAATGGAAAGTCAGGAATGGGAGAGGGCTTTCAATGTTAGATTGTAGCGTAAAAAGAAAAGAAGATAGGAAGTTCGACACTAGTGTCAACAGGAAACCCACACAAAAAAACCGATATTTAGATTTCGGATCATTCCACCCTGTGTCAGTAAAAATAGGATTGGTGAAATGTTTAAGTAATGGAGCACATAAACTTAGTAGTACCAAGGAAAATCTGAGACAGGAAATGAGGTATACAAGGGAAGCTTTGAAACTTAGTAATTACCCTGATAAATTAATCAGGAAGTATGTAGGAAAATGTAAAACAAAAATAAATAATAATACTAGTAGTGATAGTGATAACAATAATAATAATATTAATGACAACATGCATGTCAAACATGAGCAAGATAATGACAACACCAACAACGGGGAATTTAAATCATCAGTAGTAACTCCATTCAAGGAAGGAACCTCGGAAACCACCTTACGCAGAATTATTAACAAGGCAGGAATAAAAGTGCCTGGCATTCAAACTCACAAACTCAATTAGAAACAAGCTTTGTCGGTTAAAGGATGGAGAGTCTTTAAAACAAAACAATTTAGTTTATCTAATACCCTGCTCGCAATGATTGTCAGGTCAAATACATAGGTCACAGTAGTTGAACAGGGTCAGTCAGACTAGCCGAGCATAAAAACCTAGCAAAATCTAGATTAGTTGACCCGAATAAGATAAGAAATCTAGAGAAGAGTTCAGCTATAGCACTACACCACATGCAATTACATACAACCATACAGCATAGGATGGGATAAGATGACAGTTTTAAAATCGAATGTAACAAGGTGAATGGAGGGAGAGATTGATAACGGAAGCTTTGTTTATCGAATCAAGTAGTTGAAAATACATGTAATAGGAATGATTCAACACCTGTCCACCCAGATATCTGGAAAATTCTACTACCCCAACGACGACAAATAGCAAGAGAACAAAGAAAACTATAAAACTCAAGTTTCGAAGTTGTGTGATTATAATTGGCGATATGATTATGAACAGTGATAAATTTTGTTCGAAACATCATCCAGTAAATAGTAATACCGTTTCACTGTGTAATATATCTAATAAACAATCTAATAAGGGAAAACACGTACTTCAGCGGAGAGGTTGTTTTCGCTGGATTCATCTTCCCCTTTAGCTGCAAAAACGCGTCTACACAAACTTTTTATTCATGGAAGAGGTTGGTAAGAAAAGTGATGAGTTGTCACAGTCATCATAGTTGTTAATATTACTTAATCGATAAAAGGACTTGAATAACAGTGTTAGAAGTATGCAACAAGATGAGTAATTCAATGAATGTGTATCCTGATTACAACTCACTCATTAAATTATTCATCTTATTACGTAACTCTAATGCACTTATTCATCTTCTCTTATGCTCTGACTAATATTAACGACTATGCTTTTGACAACTCATCACTTTTCTTACTAACCTCTTCCGTGAGAAAAAAAATGGCATATATATACATATATGATTATAGCTTGATTCCACAGCTTATTTTTGATATAAGTATGGAATTTTCAGCATGGATATCGGTATCCCAATTTTGCAGGCCAACCCATGGATATCGGGTGTGCGTCGGCAGGGGATCGAACCCCGAACCATGTGCATGGTAGGCGAGAGTCCTAACAGCTGTGCTACCGATGCACTCAGCTAAAGAGGAAAACGAATCCTCCACGAAAAGAGCCTCTTCGCTGGACTACGTGTTTTGTTCTCATAAATCGGATTAACATCTATCAGAACCTATATATGGACACACAAACACATACACACACAGAGTTTATGACATCAGATGTAAGATGTGTTTATATTACACTCAAGACATCATCAGATAAAGTTTAAGCTGACGATACGCAGTGATTGTAATACTGCAGACTATTTATACAATTGTGATGACGTCTTAATGTTACCAAGAAATCGACGCATCAATAAAAAAAGAGATAAGCTGGTATGGCTTATCTATTACACTACTAAAACCAGATTTATCAAGGCGATAAGTTTTTGAATGGAAATCCATCTGCAAGTATAAAAGAAGAGCATATCTTTAAACTAATGATCAATTTTAGTAGAACAGCTGTTAACTTCTCTTGAATTCAGTTGACAACGTTGTGACACTATAGTGGCTAGGCATAGGCAACACATGTTCTAACCATCTCAGTCAATGTAGCTTCACAGCCTCGTCGACTGATTTCCCCTTCCACCTACATAGCACTCGACACCTAACCACAATATTGCTCGCCCTATTATACCACTTCATACGGGAAATAGAACGCAGGCACCTATGATCGAAGACAGCTAGCTAGGCGTTTCATATTTTCCGCTCTCAATGGTCAGGTCTCACATCAGTAAAGGAGGACGGAGCGGACTTCTGAGCAGTACACCCGCCCTTTAGTCGATAGCCAGGTGGATATCACGTCTACACCAGAGACGGAGTAAACTAGCATATGCGAAACTAGCCCTCTGTATGCGTGCTGAGATTTCTTCAGCGATCAACCAAGGTATAGGCAGCTGGGAAGTGATAACCGACCATACAAACTTCATAAGTACATAAAGCTCTCCACTCCCACTTCTATACATCTTTTATACAAATAAAGACTTCGCGGCAACTCTATCATTTTGGTTATAAATCCCATCATTGAATGTGAACTCCAAATAAAACATACATCATCATAACAAAACAACTTGCTGATAGACCAGTAGACACTTGTTATAAAAACCAATAAAAACTAAATGATACGTCAACAAAGAAAACGTCAACAAACAAAACAATCTCTAATATGAGGGAAAAACTACTCAAAATCATTATAAAGATTAACTTACTCGGAAAAATACTGAAGGCAAAGCAAATTTAGTGACATATGAACCAAGTCCTTTAGCTTGGGATTCAGGAAGGATTCTCCAACGGCCAGCAAGATATCCCAGAAAAATAACACCGAAACATTGAACCAACGCCGGAACTAATTCATCTAGTACTTCCTCTGAATTGGTACTTGCTGGGTTTGTTGGGGTATGATGATGTGACGTTGAATTTGTTTGCATGGTTCTAACATAAAAGACATAAATGAAACGAAGTAATGTACAATACAGATTTGTAACTTATAATTAGAATAAAATAGTGATTAATGTTAGCGACCTAAGAATGATTACAAGACTCCGTTAATGAACTATTATAAAATACTCTGAGTGCGTCGGTGGCATAGAGGTTAGGACGCTAGCCGACCATGCACATGGTTTGGGGTTCGAACCCCGGCCGACGCACTCCTTTACCTCGCTATGCCAGAAATAATGCTGGAAAAGAGGAAATGTTTGGCATGAGACTAGCAACCCCATCCTGTGAAAATTAAACACTGCTTCAGAAACTTCAAGCCATTAGCATGAGGCCCTATGTTCCACCGAGAACGTGAAGGGAAAAAAAAATAAAATACTCTGTAAAATCAAGTAGAACAATTGACACAAATGTAACCTACAATTGTAAATCGAAGTGCATTGACAACAATGTTAAAGTACAGTCTCGAATACCCTCTGATTCGTTTCACATACCGCATACTGAAAATTACCACAATGTTATTTCAGTTTAAGGGTGATTTATAGACGAATTACTAGGAAACAGACAACTGATGTGGTAGGACAATCATAAGTCGTCATTTTAAAAAATTCAGAAAATATGGGGGTAACTGTTTACATTTCATAAGGTCAATTATAACCATCAACAATAGTTCAAATTATAATTGTTGCACAACTGATATAAATTTTGACAAAAACTCCTTGGCGGATATAATATACATTCCACTCACGGTGATTTTTCAAATGTCTCTGACCCAAGCTAGGCTACCCAGGGACTGGAAGGATGCAATCATAAGCCCCATCTTCAAAGAGGGGGACAGGCAGTTAGTATTTACCTACCGGACTGTAAGTCCGACCTGTATTAAAGCAAAGGTATTAGAAACACTCATAGTGGATCAACTCTTAGCTCATATGAAGAAACCTGGTTTACTGGCGGTGGAACAACATGGATTCCGACTAGGACGATCCTGACTGGCAAACTTACTGTTAGCTAGGGTAGATTGGATCGAAGTCAGGGATAAGAAGCATCTATTGGACGTAAAGCATTCGATAAGGTATCCCATTTAAGTCTTCCTAGTAAACTCAAACGTCTTGGATTAAAGCAACGCCTACATGAGTGGTTTGGCGACTATCTGATGGATAGAAGACAGAAAGTAAAGGTTAATGGTTCACTGTCAGGGTGGAAAGCAGTACTAAGTGGAGTGCCTTAGGGAACTGTACTTGGCTCCCTGCTATTCCTATTATACGTAAATGAAGTGCCGAAAATCTTCACTTCATCTTCCTTATTATTTGCGGACAATATTAAGATATGGAAGCCGTAAATAGTAACGACGATAGGTTGGTACTACAAAACGATCTAGATAAATTAGCTCAGTGGGTAACCTCTGGAGTCTGGGAGTTAATTTAAAGAGAAGCGCGGTAATGCACCTAGGTCAGAGGTCTTACACGTTGTACTCCCTGGAGTACACAGGACTGCCAGATATTAAGGGGCAAAAGGACTTATTGAAAGCCATAACTTAAAAACAACGGTAAACTGATATGGAGCCGCAGCTAAGGCTTTTCAAATGCTATGGGCACTTTGAAGGGCTATCAAACAATTAGACTAGTGTACGTGGCAAGTACTCTATGCAACATATGTCAGACCTCACCTAGAATACCGCATACAAGCAGTGAGTCCATGCTTCAAAAAGGAGGCACATATCCTGGAGAGAGTACAGAGGGTAGGAACCACCCCTTCCTTATAATAAAAGGATGGAGCATTTAAATCTCTTCCCATTATCATACCGTAAGGGAAAGGCGACTTAATTTTGGCTTACCGTATATTAAAGGGTGATTTAGGGGTTGACCTTTCAAACCTTTTCTCTCCCTCTAGGATATAATTACTAGGTCACCACAAGAAGGTGTTCAAACCGATGTCAAATAAAATACGTGTGGAGTTTAGATTTTCTCACACAGTGGTCAACGACTGGAACTTTTTACCTGATTCAGTAGTAACAGTTCCATCGGTGAACACTTTCAAAGAGAAACTAGATCTCTGTAGAGATATATATTGCAAGGATTAACACAGGCAACAAGAGCCTTCTATCCATATAATCTGAATCCGTTTACGGGTGGAACAATCAAGAGCCCCAAAAAGTATTCATGCAGCACATCATGGCTTTTACCGTGGAGTTTATCACAAACAAGTTACAGCAAATCTGTCGAAAAATAAGGAATTTCATTCCACAGCAGTAAGATAACCTTCACACAAATAAGTCTCGGACAACACTGTATCCTTGGGTATTGCTTAAAAGCACATAATTCTCGAAATATTTTCCCTTAACCACCTACGCATAAAGGAATTTTGATTAACTCTACATTCCACATTATGTTAATCTGTCAATCTGCATGCTAGTACACATTTAATTTATCACTATTGATCACATAACAAGTGTAGCTCAACGCCAAGTATATGCAAATGCAAGTGTATTGATGGATAAATGATTGAGATCTGTTTGCTCATTTGTATTCTGGTAAAAACGGCAAGCATATGTGACAACCTAGTGCATTATCCTAAATTTGTTGGTTACTCCTATCTCTGTCACAACGACTAATCATGGATTTACTAATTTTTGCGTGTGTTTGCCTAATAAATATATAAACTAGATACACTTGTACGATTTTGGCGGTCTGAACTCTGGTCGCCATGATAATATTAAGTTACTACTACAACCCTTGTTGTAGTCCTAAATGCGCAAAAACTATCTCTTCATCGGATCAGAGAAACAACACGCACATACATTAGATATTGCTGTTACTTACATTATATCATATCATAAGTGAAAAATGCATAATTTTGGTGTAAATTGTAAGACCACTGTACTATAAGAGCATTTCTGGAGGAGAAGCGGACGGTGATCATATGAATATGGTTACCTTTACTTCCTAACAAGAACTTCTCTGAAATTTTTCGAAGTAAAACTGCCTCCCGCGTGGGACAACCCTCCTCTCCAATTTTAGTGTTTAATACTGATGGACATGAACGTAATACGGCATTGATATATTTATATTCAGTGAGTTACATAAATTATATATATAGACAATTACAAAATTCACAGCTAATTTCTGATATCTGCATGACGGAACAAAGATTATGGAAACTTTGAAGAAACACAACCATATGACTTGACAGGATTAAGCCTGAACACGAAAAAGACTCACTTAAATTACGCGATAACCTTTCTCCTTAAGTCGCTGTAGCACACAACCTTTGAAAGAGGTTTGTCTTACGTCTATTTCCCCTTCTTCTAGCTCATCAAAACCATATAACTGATCGTAACAACTTTGACTTAAGCAACGGCGTATGCATTTAGTGTGTTCAAGTAGGGATATTCTATTGTCATCAGAAGAACATACGCCAGTGCAATTTTCTGTAGCTCTCTGATATAACTGCTCGTTTGTCGCTTTACGTTTGTACTGATAAACTGGATATTTGAAGTATGACCTTCCCCAGCATTCACTGAGGAGCAAAACCACGACGAAATGAATAACAGTTGACATACGCGGAAATATAGCACTCACCTACAAAAGGTTGACCTGAAAAATTAAAACAAATTTTTCTGATCACCTTGATAAACCTGACTGCTCTGACTGTTAATATTGAGTCTTACTGACTGGATACAAGCCACTACGGCGCTCAGATTTTAAGCACTACATATTGTTCTCACATGCTAGTATGAATCAAGTAAGTCACTTCGTGACCGCTTCTTTGCAGTGAGAGAGAGACACCTGATAGTCTGTGAAAAGTCCAGTCGTCCGATTCCGTGGTCACCATTAAGAGAGTCACGTTATCAAAAGACTACTCCCACTGATATCAGCATTTTTAGTCACGCAGCCTACATCCCATGCGTGGCTTAAGTTAACAGTCTAAGATTTTTTGTAACGGTGAAACATTTTGGATCAACCACCCAAATGCTTTTCTCGAACTATTCGTATGTCAGCTAACACTGTCAAGGAGGATGGCAACTGGTATGTGTGCAGCTGCACAGACATATTATCTGATTTTACCACCTTACTCAGGATTCTACTTCCAACTGTTTATACTGTCAAAGAAAGGATATTGAACTAAGACAGACTTCTAGCTTCCTCATATTTCTACATCCATTGACGCACAGCCGACGGTATTCCCTCTATCTGTATATTTTGGTCTTTTCATGATAGCGAATTTATGGAGTCACCCCTGACTCGGTGATAACTAAGAGTACATAGGTTCACAAGTGATATGCGTGTGTAGTCGTGTGTAATTTTTTTCTGTCTCGTAAACTACTAAGTTTTTAGCATTCTCAAGATTACCATGCATCTGATCACTATCGATTCCGACTAACGCAATTCGCTTGAGGGAAGGGTCAGTGGACTAACAGATTGCAGCGGTCAGTAGGTAGTTACGTTACTGGTTCATCCTCGTAGAATAGTCACCTCCAGCATGACCACCTAGATGATCAGTTAGCTTCTTAAATGCCTGCTACTACTTATATGTACACAAACTTAATTCAATAACCATTTTGTTCCACACACCAATACTATTCGGTATGTCTTTGTCCGTCCTTGGAGGACAGTCGTCCTTGTGTTATCTTTGTATGATTTTTTTATTCCTCTATATCTTAGAAACACAAAGTTTTATCTAAGTTTCAAATATAGTGAGGCCCAAACTCTGTACCGTAAGTGCTGATAGTGAGGACGAAATGTCTGTAGGCGAATTTAATCCTACAAAGTTTGGAACAATATGTCATACGATGAATTGTCCAATCCCACACCAAGGTCATCTCTACAGTCGGAAAGGAATGATAAATCTGATATGACTGAATTGATAAGTATAAATCAAACTGTATGATGGAGCTAGAACAGGTAAAAGTGCGCACTGTCCAAATCAAAAAGAAAATTGAGTTAGGAATATTTTGACAGGCAGGCCGTGAATGTTTCGATTATGAGAATTCGTTCAATAAATTTTCCTCCTCTCCTGCATCTGGTGTGTTTCCTGATGACAGATTTTCCAGAACGATGTCTAAGTTTTTGAACAAGCCTGAAAACGTTTGATGGCAACCCTATAGATTAATGGAATTTTATGGAAAATTTTGAAGAATAGGTGAAAAAAGATGCTACCAGACATCGGGCTAAATTAAATTAGAACAAGATGATTTGGAACGAACAACTGTATTCGATGAATTCTTCCTCAGGCTCTGCAGTTATAAATTTATGAATTTTATAATACAAATAGACATTAAAGACATGTTAAAATTATATTGGAAACTATTGGGGTACATGCATAATATGGTTTCTAATGTAATTTTCGTAAACCCTTAATAGATATTTGTTTCATGATATTCATGGATTTACAACTTCAGAGCCTGGGGAAGAATTTAGCGAATATATTTCCGCCACAATGACTCTACTTTTAGTTCACCTAAGAAACATAACCTCAGAAATAAATCTTCATCTTTTAAAGTGACTCGCTGCCATACAAAATACAGATCAAATTTCTTCACTGTGAAATACCGTTGTATTTGGAACCATCTTCCAAATGAAATTAGAAATAGTTCTACCCCAAAAAGTATTCTCATCTCTATTACATATATTATTATTGTTCCCTTGGGTTCCTAGTGGAACATAGGGCTTCAAATGCACGTCTCCACTTGCTTCTGTCTTCTGATGTACTTTTCACTTGCATCCATGTTAGTCCATACTGTTTCAACTCTTCTTCACACGATCTCGTCCATGTCACCCTTGGACGTCCCACTCGCCGCTTCCCTATCGGGTTCCACTCGAACAATGGCCTGACGCGCGATGTCACCCAACGACCTCCTCAGCGAGTGTCCAATCCATCTCCACTTTCTCCTACATATTTGTTAGGCGATTTGTTCTTGTTTTGTTTGTTCCCATAGTTTCTTGTTGGTGATTCTTTCCGGCAGCCATCTGATCTTCAGTATAGAGCGAAGACAGTTGTTGATAAAGGTCTGCAACAGGCTGTTGGAAATATTCATTGTGACCCGCCAACTTTCTGATCCGTATAGAAGAACTAACTGACTTGACGTTTGTATTGAAAATCCGAATCATTTTGTTGTTGATACTGAGTGACGAAGATTCCCAGATTGGTTTCAGGTTGACGAATGTGATTCTCGCCCTCCTGATTCTCGATTTGACATCCTCGTCAGTTCCTCCTGTAGTTGAGAAAATGCTTCCTAGATGAGTGAATGAAATAACCTCTTTCAAAGCCCTCCCGTTGGTGGTGATTGGCGCTGTGTGTTACTGCCGCTGTTGTTGTTGTTGGTTGGTTATTTTCACGACCTCCATCTTGTCTATGTTCACCTGGAGTCCTGTCTTCTCTGGCTGCTTCTTCGACCAGTTTGTCGGTTTTAACTTGTAAGTCTTCAATTTTGTGTGATATCAAACATAAATCATCCGCGAAATCCAGGTCTTCTAGGTTCTTCACGTCGGTCCAGGATATCCCTGTCTCCTCGTTTCCCACTGTCTGACTATGCATAATCCAGTCCACCACAATTAGGAATATCATTGGTGATAATAAGCACCCTTGTCTGACTCATGTGTTTACTCCAAAAGCCTCGCTGAGTTTTCCGTTGTGGATCACTTGATATGTGCCGTTGTCGTACAGCTGTTGAATAAGGTTGATGAATATTTGGGGTACGCCGTAGTACTCGAGTAGTTCCGAAATTACTTCGCGGTCAACGCTGTCGAGGGCCTTCTCAAAGTCCATAAAGTTGAGGTAGAGGTTTGATTGCCATTCCGTGCTTTGTTCGATGATGATGCGTAGAGTTTCAATTTGATCAGAACATGATTTGCCTTTCTTGAACCCAGCTTGTTCTGATCGAAGTTCTGAATCCAGTGCGTCCTTTATTCTCTCCAGGATGATGCGACTCAGAATTTTACTTGGCGTCGACAGGAGCGTAATTCCTTGCATCTCATCTCTGATTGACAAATATTTTATCCACAGCGGGTTAGAAGCAGTATGTGACAAACTAAAAATTAGAGATCTTACATGGCATTCCTCTGACGCTCACCGTTAGCTCCCGAAATCTGTGTACTTTATCTTTAACTCTATTTTCACTATGATTGTTTTGACAACCCAAGTCACCTATTCACATTCGGTTTTTAGTTTTAATTATTTCTTCAATCAGGTATTTTTCCATATATTCCTGACGAAACTGTATTATGAGCATTTCGGTGTGCTAAGAGTTCACTCTTAAGTTCCAGTAGTAAATCACCTGAAGACGTCTGGTATTAAAATGTCTCTGGAGACTGTCTGATACTGTAGGTAAGCACTGTCTGTCCAGCCTAAATGGTGATAGTCTAAATAATCAACCATACGGTGAGTCTTAAATATTAATGAATCTTATCTTACTATTCTATGACTATAATCCTGTGTGGTCACATTTTCGGAATAATATATTTTAACTTACCACTTTTTATGTATACAATGCTGCACCATTATGCACCGTTTTTCGTAATTACATTTATTTATATCTAAAATGTAGACCATGACTGTCTAATTTCTTTACATTTTTATTATTTTTCTCCAAATTGCTGTAACAGATGAAAGATACATGATGGTCATCTGCAAGTAGTCACTCATACCATGACTTTGAATAAGTTGGCGAATAAATATTCAAAAAAGTCTTTGTGGTATATAATAACAGAAATTAAAAAAGAAGCATTTTACCAAGGCCTTGCACATAAAAAGGTGGGAGGGTGCTGACTGCTATTCAGTGAATATAATGGTGGGGCATATCAGAACCACCCTTATCTGTGGGACAGTACTCTATTGCTAAGGCTCCTGAGTTCGAATGACTTCTTCAAAATAAGTGTACAACTAAAAAAGAAGTAGAGGTTAAAAGCTGTCTGAAAGCCGGAGTTTAAATATAAACTCCCTGAATGCAAGTACATGGTGTAAGTTCGCTACTACAGAACCTAACTGTACTAGACTTAATCTTCTGCCACAATATAAGTCCCCTTTCTACCCTAGTAGGTTCTGAGTTTTCAGGGAGTGACCGCAAAACAGTGCCGTGTGCACTGCCACTTCCGTCAAGTAGCAATGTAGCCCATACCCCTACTTCACAACAAATAACTTACAGGAACTACAGTAAGGCAGACTGGACTCAAGTGAAATCAATGCTAAGATCCTCAGAATGGAGAGAGTACTTCTATACTTATAGCCTCTCGAAAGCTCTGGACATCTTTTACTATAACTCCAACAATGCTTAGATGCTGTCATACCACTTCAAACACTAAAGTTTTCCCCACATAGAAAGCCATTCATAAAGCTAAAGGATCGTAGGAAACTGAAGAGACTGACAACAAGTTACTTCAGACGACACGACTTTAGTACACTAGGGTCGATACTTAGTACTCTTAGCTCCCCCTCGCAAGCTCATAACTTGCGTATGAGAAATGAGGAATGCACCGCACTAGCCAGCACCACCAGATTAGGTTCTCTCACAGAGATCCTAAAGAAACGAATGAATCGCCAAAGCCATAAAATTTCTCTCCTTATAAACAAGGGTACACT